ACATAGCTTGCTGTTAACATCAAGATTTGGGAGTGTAGGCCATTTTTAACACATAATGTCTATGACAACACACTTCTTAGGATTCAGCTGTATACTCTGTGCACTCTTCATTGTACATGTATTATTTTTATAATTGCTCCTTCCTTTTCAAAACAAGAGCCTCATCAGTTGTCAGTAATTTTCATGGTCCTAATCATGGCCCCTGTTTCAATAAAAGTGAAAGTGAGTAGGATCAGAGGGGTCCCTGGGTTTCACTCTGGTGGTCTCTCTCTCATAGATGAGATTGAGCAGTAGATTTGAATTTTCTCTCCCTGTTCTATTCACTGTAGAGGGCCAGCAGCCAGGCCCTGTCCATGGTGCTGAAGGCCGGCAGCCCAGCCCTGTCTGTGGTGCTGAAGGCGGGCAGACCGCCCCTGTCCATGGTGCTGAAGGCCGGCAGACCGGCCCTGTCCATGGTGCTGAAGGCCAGCAGACTGGACCTTCTGTGGTGCTGAAGGCTGGCAGGTGGAGGCCCTGTCCATGGTGCTGAAGGTTGACAGATCGACCCTGTCCATGGTGCTGAAGGCTGACAGACTGGCCCTGTCCGTGGTGCTGAAGGCCAGCAGACTAGACCTTCTGTGGTGCTGAAGGCTGGCAGGTGGAGGCCCTGTCCACGGTGCTGAAGGCCGGCAGACCGGCTCTGTCCGTGGTTCTGAAAGCTGGCAGGTGGTGGCTCTGTCCGTGGTTCTGAATTTATTGTTTTATTATTTTTCAGTTTTTGTTTCCACAGCTTATTGTGGATGATTCCTTAATTAAAAACTCACCAAGATAAGAACATATATGAAACATGATTAGAACATGCAGTAATGAGATGAAAACAACAGTGAAAGGTCAGAATGAGAACATTTCACAAACACTCAGAGGCTGCACAACAAACACCACAACACAGTCTGATGATAAACAAACACACCACACAAAGAACATAAAAAAGAGAACACAGCAAGGACATGATCAGGGCACACAGAGAACATACTAAGAACACGGAGAGGAGCATATTGAGGATACGCTGTTGCCTGACAGCTCCTAGAGTCTCCAATTACAGCAGAGTTCAGAGGTCAAGACAGAAAGATTCATCCGGCTAATCATGAAGCGATGAGTGCTGTGTGTGTGTGTTGCATGAATTAAACATGTGGCTCAGTCAGCTGTGAACACAGGGGGTTAATGGAGCAGGACACGCTGAGGGGTTTCAGGTTTTCTCATGATTCATTATCAAACAGAGATGTTGAACTTTAATGCCTTTTACCCTCTCTGTGTGTGTGTGTTTCACCTTGTTGTTGACCCCTGCAGTTGAACACAGACACACAAGCTGTTTGACAACACAGCCACAGACTCACACTAAATGAATCGGATGAAACTGTAACATGTAGTATACACACTATTACATGAAAATAAACACAAGCTGGTGCAAACAAACAACTTGTTGAAATGTAGTTCAACACTATAATCACTCTTTATTTGTACAGAACCTTTCACACACATTAGTACAATTCAGTGTCTTTGTGAGTGATAGTCTGGTACAAATACAAAAGCCAAACCATTAGATAGTAACGCACAAAAGATCAGTGTAGAGAGGACACATCTAAAGGATGGAAGTGAAATAGGAAAATGTGAACCACAAAACACAGCAACCAAACATTTAGAAAAAATTGTCAAGTAGACACTGTAACAACTGAAATACTCGTGACAAGTAGTTTCTGTTGTTTCTCTACCAGACTGTCTCTTGGAACATTTTGAGGTGACACAGTTTCTCTAAGAACTCATTTTGCTCTGCGTTAGATCTCATGTCCTGGCTGCGCTGTTGCTCTGTATCAACCTGGCCTTGTCTCCTCTATGTCCATGGATCTCAATGGTCTGAGCTACACTGAGGTTTCCTGTGAGGGTTGGTAGCACGTGGTCAGTGTCTGACATCTCTCGGTATCTTTGGCTGAGTGAGACGTTGCAGTAGCTTTCAGGTAACTTCCTCCCTGTAAAAGGCACTTACAAGGTCTTTATCTGCCTCTGGTCCGGCCTGTGTGGGATTTGAATTGCTGTATTTACTTGACAGTATTTAGCTACTAATAATGGCAGAGATATAACTGGTTTGGTTTCTGTGTTTGGTTGCTCCTCCTCCTCTCTTCCGTTTAGTTTCTTCTCCTCCATCAGCTCATTAATCAGTTAACTCCCTGCTGCTAATTGACAGTTGTCATTAATTATCTCTGACTGTTCTGATTTGTATTCAAATGTATTTGATAGCAGCAGAATGCTTTGCTCATTTACATAATAAATACAAGTTGTTTTTGCTGTAGCTGATTTATTCATCAAATTTATTCATGTTTTCTTTAGTGTTTTGCTTTATCTTTAACATCAGTAGTGTGGAAACTAGTGTGGGGCTGGTATTGCTAGATTTGTGGGGACAGTTTTAAATTGTGAGGATATGTTGTCTGGTCTTCACACCTGGTCCTTGTGGGGCTCACTGAGGGTTCACACCTGGTTTCAGGTTCAGGTTTATGTTCCCTGATGATCCCTGACAGCACTGACAGTTTGTCATTCAGGACGAGCTGATTGATGCCGTGGTGCCCCTGGGCAATTCTCTGTAGTTGTCAATTAAATACATTTTGGTTAAAATTGGGTAAATAATTTTACCTCTGGATTGACGTGAGGTTTATCTTCCTCAGCAGATATCGAGTTGTCGAGGTTTTCACCCAACTTGGATGATAAAACCTTAAATTCAAAGATCTAAATTCAACAGGACAGAGTCTTTAGTGAAAAGCCAGAAGAGTAAGTGAATGGATCATGCATTTAATTTTAGGATGCCTTTAATAATTCATCTAATAATCCTTTAAAGACTTGGTAGTAAATGAGTGAAGGTCTGAGAATGTAATTTCTTTTCTCTTGAATTAGAAAATGTGAACACTGACAGAAGACAATAAAAGGCGGTGGTTAAATAGGTACAAATGAAACCCTTTGGTTTGACAGCAGCTGCTTTAGTGCCCTGAACACCCGGCTGAGAGCGAGTGGTGTAAATGACTGTGATCAGGTTAACAGTCAGAGCTGCCAACAGACGTAAATCACACTCCCTCTCTGTGGCCCTACATTAGTGTCAGTATAATTCCTCCTCACACTGCAACTACATTTTCTACCTCACAGAGCATATTAACTCAAGCACAGTGTGTGTGACTTCTTGTCTTCACGGAGATAAATTCACAGTGCGTCCTAATTTCCTGCTCGTAAATATGAGCAGTACCAGACTGTGTGTGTGTGTGTGTGTGTGTGTCAGCTCTTCCCTGCTTATCACATAACAAATTGAAAGCTTAATCTGTTCTGTGTGTAGATTTACGACCTCGCTGCTCGCTCACACTCATTCATAGTAGAATGGATGGAAGGGAGGGAGGACACAAGTGAAGAGAGAAGGAAGTGAGGAGGAGGAGGAGGAGAGTGTAGATAAGTCAAGTCTGGGTAAATCCCAATTTCCTTATTTAATTGTTGTTCTTCAGCAGCTCGGAGGCTGCTGGAAGAGACATGAACGAGGACACAAGAGACCATCCCTTGTGGAATTTTTGTATGGGCCAACACCCTTTTATTGGAAATCATTTGGTGATTGGATGCTTCAGAGGAAGGATCAGTGAGAGGGTGTCTCATGTCTCTTCAAATGCACTTCCTCCAGTTCTCTGTCCTCACATCTTATGTGGGCACAACCAAGACACAAGGAAAAGACACTGTCAGGGGGAACTTGGATACAGTTAAGGGAACTGGGGTGTAACCTGTGTGTCTAAAGATAAGGTGACAATCAACTGCTGGGTGGTTACCATGGTGATAAGACTCTGTGTGTGATCAACTGATCAGAGGTCAGAGGTCACGCTAACACACGGAGGTTACACCTGGGCAGGTGGTGTGAACACCTGATCTACAAACCGAACTCATCATCATCTGTCAAATGTGGTGTTGTGATTTTAATAAGAGGCTCCTATGTTGATTGTAAGTATTTTATCAGACACACCCACATGCTGATGTTCTTGTAGAAAAGGTTTTTTGTATACAGAGCATCTGTTCAGAGAGAACTGTGTGTGTGTCAGCACTTTGTCCTTCTGTAGGCTCATTAGGGATGAGCAGCAAGGAATGCTGGGTAATCAATACTGCAGAGACCCTCAGAGACCAAAAATATCGCCTGAGAGGGAGTTGTCTTTTTTGTCCTTCTCTGTGTTTGCATTCTGTTACCATGGAAACCGCTGTGATGCTCAATGGTTTCAGACAGACCACCTCTCCCACCACCATCCTAACACACACCTACACACATCATGGCAATCTGACCGTAAACAGTAAACACAAACACAGAGGACGACACTCTAATGGACACATTCACCCAAACGAAGCATATGGAGGTTTGACTCCTGGAAATACGAGTCTTTGTTCTGTGTCTCCTCTCCATCACCCTCCCTCCTGGGAGGAGATGACCAGCAAGAGACACATTGTCCTCTGTGTTTACCCAAGGTGATATATGTTGACATACAGCTTGTCCTATCTTCAGAGTGTGTGTATGTGTGTGTTCCATCCAGTTTCTGAAACACGAACATGACTGAGGAATACCATGTGTTGGAGTAAAAAGCCCCGGAGCAGCTAAAAAAAAGACCTTGTTATGAGTTTAGGTTTTGGCCGGGGTCGACATGATGCTGCTTTATACTTCAGGAGCGTCATGTGACATTTTGGTTTTGTCCCCTGAGAACAGAATCACCTGCACACAGACGAGCAGGAACCTTGTTTACCACATCACAGTGCTGCTGATACCGCTGTCAGCTGTACTACCAGTACTACCAGTATTACCAGTAGTGCCACTAACCCAACTGGTGCCATGTTTCTTTCTGTTACTGGCATTGTAACCTTTGTTCTCCTATCTGTTTAATTTGTAGCTCATTTTGATGTTTGTCTTTCTTTTAAATCTTAAATGTAACCTAAATGTCACTTCCTGTTTCTGTGCGCGTGTGCAGGTTCTTCCTGAAGTTCTTCCTGAAGTGTAACCAGAACTGTCTGAAAAATGCAGGAAACCCACGAGACATGAGGAGGTTCCAGGTAACACATACTCCCACACATACAAAGATGAATTCATTTCCCTAAAGGGCAGGACTTGGCCCTGCCGTGCCCATAATGCATTGCAGCGGGGCGGCCTGAGCCTTATTGCTTTGCAGATATAATATGAGAGGTCATCAGGGAGCGGTCTGTTTGTCTGTTTGGCCCATCTCTCATTTTCTTAAACGTGGTCATCACGTCAACACTCTTCCTGCTGCAGTTTTAATAAACAGGTTCTTTAGAAAAATCACCGACTCAACTTATGTCATGTTTGTGTACTGGAGTTCATCAAAGACAACGAAATGCTTCAGGTCCGGTTTCTCTGAATCTTTAAAACTCATGCAGAGCAGCAACACCATAAACTAATAAAAATGGAAACACGACTTGTCATGATTATCATAATATTTAAGTGCTGATCATGAATAATTTCTTCATATTTATACAGAGTTATGTGCTGATGTGATACTGGCCTGTTTGATGGGTAGCTGACATAAAGGGACCTGGTTCAGGCGACTATGTAACAGTCCAGCCCTCGCAGCTCCATTCCCAGCCACGACTGGTGATAAATTCAGTGCTTGAGTGCGTTTGGTCTTCAGTGTGTCGATGTTTATGTCATGCTGTGCGACTGCTAACCCCAGGTGTCTCAGTAAACTGCAGATTAACAGAGTCACTGCAGAGATAAAAGACTCTTCACAATCAAACACACTCCACACTGAGAGGCTTCATTCATCCAGCACTTAAACAGAAGGAGCATCCGACAGCTTATCAGGGGACATCCGCTCTGTGACTGATCCTCTAATTATTGATCAGCCCTGTTATCACATTACACTCTAATAGGCCAGAAGCAGAGAGGAGGTGGTAGGACGGTAAAATAAAAGAGGTAAATTTAAATGGAAGAAGAAAAAGATTTAAAAAAAGTGAACAAAAAGTAAAGCAAAAGAGAAAAGGAAAAAAAGGTAAAAGCAAGAAAAGATCAATCGGAAACGGTAGGGTCCACCCTGGACAGGTCACCAGTCTGTCACAGGGCTGACTTATAGGGCTTGCAACTCATACAGACTCGTTCTCCCTCTGCACTTCCCATGGCTTCCCCGGGAGCTTGAGGGTCCTGCGCAGTCTCTTAGCTGTTCCTAGCACTGCACTCTTCTGGACAGATCTCAGATGTTGTTCCTGGGAGCCATTCTCCCAGTTTGGGGGTCACAGCCCCGAATGTTCCTATTCCCACAGGGACCGCTTGTGCCTTCACCTTCCACATCTTTTCTAGCTCTTCTTTCAGCCCTTGGTATTTCTCGAGCTTCTCGTGTTCCTTCTTCCTGATGTTGCTATTGCTTGGGATTGCTACATCTATCACTATGGCCTTCTTCTTCTGTTTGTCCACCACTACTATGTCCGGTTGGTTGGCCATTACCAGTTTGTCAGTTTGTATCTGGAAGTCCCACAGGATCTTAGCGTGATCATTCTCAACCACCTTTGGAGGTGTATCCCATTTTGACTTTGGGACTTCCGGCCTGTACTCAGCAGAGATGTTTCTGTACACTATGTCAGCCACTTGGTTAT